AATATATAGGCTTACATAGTGTTCTCTGCAAACCTCAGATACTCGTGTGTTCTCCGTTCCTGTCGCTCAAGGAGAAGGCAGATGGCTTTGCTGAGCTGGACAATTTGATTGCAAACGTTTCATCTTTTTTCTTCTTTTTTCTGCGACGATGTCTCATGTGTTTCAAAGGTACGTTTTTGTTTTTCCGGACGAGGTCCAACGCGTCAAACCATTTAGCAAAAATGATGACGTGTTCATTGTAGTTGCCCTTGTTGTTAATCGGAGATGCGAGTTTTTCAAGCTAGGCTAAACTTCGGACAGCCAGTTCTGTATCTGGTCTGAAGCCATCCAAAGAGACAGTCTAGAAACTGGCTGCTTCAAAAAATTGAACAGAATACAGAGGTGACGATGCAGAGCCTAACAAACGAATGTCAATTCCTCCATAACGTAAAACACAGCACTGCCGCGATTGGTCAGTTTAGTGCGCCGTCAAGGAGACTTATACATGCAACCAGCCTTGAAATTTGTTATGTGTTAGAAACTTGCGTGATCGTTGGTTGTGCGTGAACCCACAACAATGTCGCGAGCCCAAACACTCTGCGCAGAGAGACAGAAAGACCAGGTCTTCAGAAGAGGGCTTTTACTGACCCAAATAAAAGCAAAGTACAGTGGGGACACCGTCGATTACATATACGTTGGACGACATTGGGGGACAATAAATCTGGTGCTCATGAAGTCCAACTGGCAAATAGGAAAAGGCTTGATCTATAGGATTAAGGTTCAGTGTGGCGGGAAAACCGCGAAGTTTAAAAGTTCAAATTTTTTGAAGAGAAAATAAACAATAACTCGGAAATTAACCGGTTTTGGGGTGATGGTTATATCTCAAAACCTTTACTTGAGGAAACTCAGCAACGGGTCCTTCTTGGGTCTAGTTGGAAGCGAGTCGTTTGGAGTCGGCGTCGGTCTGCCATCTTCTTCCGTTCGGGAGACGTCCGATAAAGTAAAATTTCAAGGTCAGGTCAGGCTTTTTGGGATTCGGGTTCATCCATAGGTCTTTAAGCATCCTTGTACTACATAGTTACCTTTTGCGGTGTATCCCCAATTAGCCACGAGCAAAAGGCTAACAGGTTTCCCTTGTTCAATAGGCCTAATCAGTGTTAGTCCCCAGTTTGTTGAGCACGTTTAGTTCTCATCTGCATAATCGCTTCTGCCGACGTGCGGCAACTTTCCATGCCACGCCTTCACTGTCCTATCTAAATTACAAGCCAACATTGGTGGCCAAGGTGGACTGTGACCCTAGCAATACGATCTAGAATTTCCCTACTACCATTTAGATCTCCCAACATTTTCCCACAAACCAGTTATTTCTCAACCTGCCCCAAAATATCTCACTATGACACTGCTCCCGGCTTCTTTCTCAAAGCGGTTGCCAGAGCACGATTCTTCGTCATCCATCTTTCCAATATCTTCAAAGAAAGGCTCACTGCCAGAAGACCCAGCTCCCAAATCCGGCAAAGACGGCACTTCAGCGACCCCAGCCTGTTCAGTAGTTCTCACCGACATATGTTAGGCTTTTCAACCTAATAACACTCTTCTCTCACAGATGCCAATGGAATCTCAGGTCCTGAAAGACTTGGAGAATCTCAGAACACGGGTGCAAAAGATGAAAAATGAAATGTTTCTCATCCGAACCAAACAGTCGATTGCATGCCTCCTAAATCCTGACGCAACATGTCATCCCATCAACCTAGAAAAATCATCTACTGCAATTGACACGGTTGCGTTTGAGATTTTTCAACGAAGCCAATTCGGCACCAGGTCCTAATGCTCAACACACCCGATTGAATTCCGTTTGAGCATACCGAAACCGCCATCATGTCTGCATGTGAAACGCTTGACACCATGTACGCAGCTCGGCGGCGCAAAAGCTAAAGCCATCCGCGTTGCCAATAATAATGCAACTCCGGGATAAAAGGGGTGCCGCGCGTTCGCTCACGCCCCATGCTCCTCTCTCCTCTACCAAAACATTCCAAACCATAAAAATCAAAACAGCCCGTACTCGAATACAAAAGCAGCTTACCAACAAGCTGCCTCAACCTGTTGCCACATCAACCGCCAATAGTTGACTTGACGCGCACAAGATACCCTTAGACTCTCAATGCTCCGTGATTACTGCCAGCAGTGAACCCACACCAAACCATTCAGCAGCGTCTAGCTTTGTAGCCTCGTAAAACCCTGAGTCCTCTATTGCTCCTGCAAATGGATTCTGTGCTTCACCATCAGTGAAAACTGAAAACGTCCCTATCAACCGAGTAGGAATTTCTCATAATGTTGAAACGACTGATGCGGTACGTCTCTCAACCGGCGCAATGACCACGCCAGGTGTTGACAACCCTCGTTCTTGTCAGAGGCCCTCTGATTTGCTGTCTCTTTGTATTACACCTCCGCCAAAATACGCTCTCGACTTCAACTACACCCTCTCTCTCAACTACGCCCTCGAGAACCTGTCCTTCGTTCTTATCAAGATAACTACACCTTGCTTCGGCCTCCCTATAATTACATAAAGAATACACCAAACCACACGTGCCACGAGCCTGGTGACACTTCACATCCGCAAAAACCGGCGGCCAGCTCAGGCTCAACTTGGAGAATCTCAGAACACGGGTGCAAAAGATGAAAAATGAAATGTTTCTCATCCGAACCAAACAGTCGATTGCATGCCTCCTAAATCCTGACGCAACATGTCATCCCATCAACCTAGAAAAATCATCTACTGCAATTGACACGGTTGCGTTTGAGATTTTTCAACGAAGCCAATTCGGCACCAGGTCCTAATGCTCAACACACCCGATTGAATTCCGTTTGAGCATACCGAAACCGCCATCATGTCTGCATGTGAAACGCTTGACACCATGTACGCAGCTCGGCGGCGCAAAAGCTAAAGCCATCCGCGCTGCCAATAATAATGCAACTCCGGGATAAAAGGGGTGCCGCGCGTTCGCTCACGCCCCATGCTCCTCTCTCCTCTACCAAAACATTCCAAACCATAAAAATCAAAACAGCCCGTACTCAAATACAAAAGCAGCTTACCAACAAGCTGCCTCAACCTGTTGCCACATCAACCGCCAATAGTTGACTTGACGCGCACAAGATACCCTTAGACTCTCAATGCTCCGTGATTACTGCCAGCAGTGAACCCACACCAAACCATTCCGCAGCGCCTAGCTTTGTAGCCTCGTAAAACCCTGAGTCCTCTATTGCTCCTGCAAATGGATTCTGTGCTTCACCATCAGTGAAAACTGAAAACGTCCCTATCAACCGAGTAGGAATTTCTCATAATGTTGAAACGACTGATGCGGTACGTCTCTCAACCGGCGCAATGACCACGCCAGGTGTTGACAACCCTCGTTCTTGTCAGAGGCCCTCTGATTTGCTGTCTCTTTGTATTACACCTCCGCCAAAATACGCTCTCGACTTCAACTACACCCTCTCTCTCAACTACGCCCTCGAGAACCTGTCCTTCGTTCTTATCAAGATAACTACACCTTGCTTCGGCCTCCCTATAATTACATAAAGAATACACCAAACCACACGTGCCACGAGCCTGGTGACACTTCACATCCGCAAAAACCGGCGGCCAGCTCAGGCTCATATGTGCCTACACCGTCCTACATGTCCGCTTCTGTCCCAAATGTAGGTCATTTTCGGACACGACCCATCTCCCCACAACTAGCGCCACTTTCTGCACCGTGTCACTCTCCACAGCTCCTGCCGATGTGACTGAATTCATGTCTCAAAATCCCTCCTAACCCCCAACCGCTTCCAACTGCATACCAGCATTCAAGAGATATACCCACCCACGATGAACTTTATGCTCTACCTTCTGCCGTGGATCCAAACCTACTTCAGCCACTATTCACCCCGTAACCCTTAGATATGAATACACCTCAACCTATTCCGAATACATGTCTAGTCAACTCTACATCTAGTCAGCTCTACCTCACCCGAACAAACTAATCGTTGGGGATCTCAACCTTCCTGAGATTGCCTGGTCTCAACAAAACTCCCCTTTGCGCCTCTCGCCCCTGCTTACCCAACTTAATGTCGAAGGCTGGTCCCAGCTTGTAAGGCAACCAACACGCGGTGCCCACACCCAGGACATTGCCCTCGTCAACAGCTATCTGTGTCCCACCGCTGCAGTTGGTCCGAAGTTTCCTGACAGCGACCATTGTAACGTAACTTGCAGCTAGACAAGTATTCTACCTTCAGCTACTCATCCTCCCTTAAACTCTTTAATCCTTTCCCCGGGCATTCTTGAAGCCTTTGCAATCTCATTGCGCCATAAGACCTGGGACGAGTTCTTCCTCTCTGGTGACACGCAAAGCGTGGCTAACATCTTTTACGTCAACTTACTATCGTCATTATACCTAGTTGCTCCCACACGAGCTTCCCATGCTTTTGGTTGTCATCCATCCACACGACTACCCGCTACACGCCATAAACTCAGGAAGTATCGTAGGCTATTCCTTGAATCACATGATCTCTCCCTCTTTATCGTAATCAACAAACTTATGACTGATATTACCAAGGCCAAACTCGCCCTTGAAAAGCGTGAGAAGTCGACCGCTCTTCAATATCTCCCTTATCACTGGCACAGTCCCTAGTCAGTGGAAGCACTCTACGATTGTCCCACACTATAAGTCAGGTCCACGAACTACTCTAGCCAGCTATCGTGGCATCCACCATACCTATTTACTACTTCGTACCCTAGAGCGCCTTATCAAAGTTCGTGTCATGAAATACCTGCTCGCCACCAAAACCCCTAGCAACCGGCAGTATGGGTTTATGGCACGGCGGTCAGCTAACACGTGCCAGTTTTATTTCCTCAATCATATGTCGTCCGCCTACGATACCGGACTATGTATTATCCTTATGTACCTTGATATTCGCAAGGCATTTGACCAAGTTCCCCACGGTGTACCTTCAACAAATTACGAGCTTTGGGGTTTGGTGGACCAATAATGCGATGGTTCGCTTCTTACCTCCCTGGTAGAACCCAGGCCACCAAAATCGGGGATATCTGCTCCTCAGCCCTCCCCATTACCAGTGGAGTTATTCAGGGTAGTGTG